CTTCCATAAAGAGATCTGACTCATGGAGTTTGATTTAGGGTACTGTTGGCAAGCGTGACACAAGAAACAAGGCTGAAGAGAAATAACTTGTAGGAAATAAATCTTCCAGGAAAAATATATATACAACAACAACAACAACAACAAAAACTTCTTTTCATCAAGCACTGGAGGACTGAATCATGAAAACGTGAGTGTACTTTAAAAGGTATCTGTCAACTGGCAGGCATAGATTCATAGCAATCTCTCTCTCTTTCTGGGACTCCCCTCCTGGGATTTGACCCTGAAATGAGGTCGCAATACTCAGTAAGTACTATACCTTACAAAATTAGGAGGACTCAAAAGTTACAGTGGCAACACTTGTCTTGGTTGTGAAGGGAGTTGAAATATTTCCTCTGGCAACCCCTTCCAAAAAAAAAAAAAAGGGCTCGTAGGTTTCTAGATTTAAAAGCAAGAATTGTAGAATGAGACATGGAAGATCTCAAAAGAGCAGAAAATGCTTCTGTTGATGGTCAAATAAAACCAAGACGAACAGCAATAAATCTGTCCAGGAGGATTGAAATGAGAAACACCAAAGATGAAGCACAGGCACGGGGATCATCTTTGACTGTCAAACAAGGTAAGATGTATTCACCTGATTCAGAAAAGGAGGAATGCTAGAAATAAGTTTATGTATTATGGACAGAGTAAATAATGAAGTGTTAGATTACTTTGGTTGACCTCACTTCCTGATTTTTCTGGTCCAAATATTTTACAATACTAGATGATGGAAGAGGTGGTAGTAGGACAAGCCGTGCTGGGCTGATCTGCTCAGCTGGAAAGCTAAGCAGCCTCAGGCTGTGCTTATTCTTGGGACATGGTTCACCAGAGAGCTCCTGCTACCAGGGACACAAGCAAAAGGCAGTCGTGGAGAAATGCTGGCAACAGCAAGCACAGAAACCTAATGAGTGAAAAGACTTAGTCTAACCTGATTGTCTTGGCTAAACTGATCAGGAATTTTGTTGGAGAATCCTGTCACATACCATGAAGTCGCTTGCTGTAGTGCAGGCACAGGAGACAATTTGTAATCTTGGTGTCATGCTGTTTTCCTGAAAAACAGGGAGCTTTTAAGCCATCATGCAACCCCTTGATAGAAGTATTTAATTAAGGTATATTTTCATCTTGCGTTGTTTAGCTACAGATGGATGGATTTAGCTTTTTGAATAAAGTGTATCTGAAAAACTAAAATTTAAACTATGTGCATTATAGCAGAATTTCAGGACTGTTATCTTGTAAAGTACTATGAATCGGATAATCACATCTGTTATATTTCCTTTTCAGAAATATAGTGTTAGAAAATTGGCTTTTTATTATCAGAGGTGTTGACAGGACCTTGGTCTTTACTTTCCCCTCTTTTTACCAGCAAGAATATACTTTTCCTAAATACTTTTGAACAGATGCAATCTGGCTGATGGAAATGAAGAATTAACAGTATTCTTATGCAACACATTACTCTAAAGGTCCTAGTCAAATCAAGGGAGGCATTCATTTTTGAGGGTTACTTTGAGAAATTTATTCCAGGAGTTGTTTTGCTTGTTTTAATAAACTTTAAATGATGATTATGCTTTCTTAGCTATGCATTTTGCTGTCATAAAGGCCTAGAAGGAGATTTGTAGCTGTTGCAAATTCAAATTGCAGTGCTGAAATTAGCATTGAATATAAAATTGATGCTTTGAACTAATACAAAAAAACATGAAATTAAATGTTTAGAATACTTTGTCACGCAGAGGCTGACATAGCCGTACCATCGAAAGCTATTACATTTTGACAGAGAGATAAAGCAGGTAGTTTTTATACTATCCAAATTCTGATTGCGTTTGAGTACTTTGTTGCTGAAAAAGCCAGCAACACTAAATATGAAAACTCTCCAGGAAAGCTTTGTACTATTTTTCATACTCTTCATACTTCAAGCTCACACGTTCTGAGAATGTTTTCTAAAAGGATTAGTTACGATGCTTTCTTTAGGTGAGTTAGCCTCTGCCTTTGTAAATATGTAAAGTAATTCTAGTTTTGATCATTTGCATTTTCCCAGGGTAATGGAAGCAATGGCAGTCATGACATTGAAAGCACCCACATCTGCAGAGGGTTAAAGAAGGGCTGGTGTGTGTTGCTGAATCCAACATTGTAGTACAGGTACCTAAGCTAGCCTCAAAAGTTTATGGGCAGGAAAGCAGGATTGTTCCTATGCCTCACCTCATAGGGACTGTTCAATTTACAGTTTCGGTGTGGTGTAGTGTGTGTGTACTGCTGCTGCCAGTTGTGTAGCTAGCTTAACAGAGCCAGCCAGGGTGAAGAGTGCTGGTTTGATGTATCTGAAATGTCTGATTCTAAGAAAACTGTTCGAGGGTGTCGTAGCAGCTCAGTGGTTTAATATAAAGTATAGTTTAGTAGTTTTGTGGAAAAAGGAAAAGCATTTTTTTTGGTATCGAAAATACCATCCAAAGTCTGTTAGATGTCATAAGACAGAGTCTAAAAGTTTCCTTTGATTCCTGTGAGTGTCCTGTTTGTAATGCCAGGGATTATCAGTGCTACCTGAATCATTAAGAGTTCAGCAGAGCAGCCAGAACAGAGGAGTCAGCACTGTATACCTCAGGAGCCCTGTGCTATCGCTCAGCAGACCATCATCTGGGAAGCCTTGGGAATATTTATGCAAAACCACTGCCCAAAAGTCACCTCAGTGAAACCAGCTGTTAGCTCAGATACATCTGAATGCAGTATCCAGCTAGTTCCAGGTAATGCCACCCAGGAGGCAGCCCCGCCACGTTTTTTGTAGTGGTGTGAATGCTGCCTGCCATTGCGGGTTGGCCTCAGTACACGTTTCCACAAGGAGCTGACGCCTGGACAGGAGGGAGCTGAGAGAGCTGCTGCTTTCCTACACCCTGTGTCCTCTCTGCAGCTCTTCTTAACTGATCGCCTCTTCAGGTATCAGCACAAATCTGTTCTTAATGCTCATCTCAGATTATATCTGAACAGAAATGAAAGAGTCGCGATTTGCCCTGATTTTATCCTGAGGGAAGCAGATGTTGCGGGATGCAAAAACCAATGTTTTAGCAGCACAAGATTTCCTGCTTTAGCACAGACTCAGGCAGCAGGGCTGTGTTACCTCTGTCACCAGCAGAAACTTACAGAAATACTGCTTCAGTCTTACCCACATATGCATCATTGCTAAAGCAAGTTGCTGCATTTTTAGATACATATACTTGTACAAGCAAAAGATAAAGCTCACTGAGACCTGCTGGAGAGTAGCATGCTCACATTGATGTTTTGTGGCCAGCTGGATTTTAAAAATGGACAGAAATTGAAGGGCCAAGGCAAAAACATGGTTAATTAAGTGTGAAAGGTGCTGTCCTTATTTGGACTGTCGGTTAATGGTATGACAAGCTCTGGTAAAGAGCTTAGCTGGCCAGATTAAAATTAAAAAATTGTCTCAGTCCATCTGCTAGCTCCAAGGCATTTACTTCCATCACCTTTCCTTGTTTCTTCACTGAAGTGGAATACTCTCCTTGAAAAGATCTTTCCAAGGATGTCTTCTTTTTTTACCTAATGTTTTTTCCAAAGACAACTAACTATATGTGACATCAAGACATTTTCAAGAAGGGCAATGCGCTTGGTTGTTTCAAGGAGACGTTAAAGACAACAGCTCTTTGCTAAAAGGGATTTTTTCATCTTTGCCTATTGGTTTTTGGACACAGTTAACTATGTTTGCCTTCATTTGGAAAATCTCTCTCTTTCTTTTGGTTTTGGGAGTGATTAAAGGAGATCTTCAAGCAGTTGCAGGTAATGCAGAAATCTTCTTTATATTCTTGTTTTCAAGGTTCTACCCTATTATAGCAGTGTGTAGAAATAAAAATGTCTCTTAATTGAACTGAAAGAGGCTAATACAGAAAAACATTTGTTCAAATCTGTGCTGTGATATCGATGTAGATACGGAGTTGTTAGCGTGATTTCCAAAAGAGATGACTGTTGTTTTAAGAGCAGAGTGTAGGTACAGGATGCAAGTTTTCCCAACTTTGAGAGACTTTAATAATGATAAGCGAGTTTTCTATTTGGTGCTTTTTTCTTTAGTAATTTTGTATTAAACCAAACAACAACAACAACAAATCTTCTGTCTCCTCTACATGGACAATGAAGATGTGTCAGTTTGGGTAAAGATTGGAGTTCTGCCTTAGTGACCTTGTTTGATGTTCCCTTCTCCCTCCAACATACTATCTGGTGGTGACCTTCTGCTTTAGAGCTGATTATTAATTTAGCATCAAAATAATCATCATCTTTTGGTCATCAGAGTCAAAGGTGCTATTGACTTTGAAGTTGCAGAATGAAGTCATAATCTGTAGGGTGAAAAATGCCATACAATTACTACTGTTCTTTCTGTAATTAATTATTAATTTTGATTCTTTTTCAGCTGTTTTCTGGGGAAACAGTTGAAGCAGAAAGGTTGAATTCACTAATTTCAGGTCAGCTGTCTGTGGAGGTTAGATAATTAGATGGTCAGACTAAAACTAAATAGACACATTCACCCCTCTGCTCTAAAGTTTCCTCTGAAGTGACATGGAACAATTCACATGAGAGGAAATTTTGAAAGAGCTAAAAAGCTAAAACCCTTTTTTTCTTCTCCCACTCTGCTGTCAAGTAGGCACCTGTCAAATGATGATAGAAGGTGAACTTGCTTTCTGTCAGTTCAGGCAGCTTTCTTCATGCGTAGGTTATAAGTGTGGAAAGAATGTATGGAATAAGGGGGCTTTTACATTAATTATGTCTTCCATTCCCTGTCCTGAAACTTTCAAGCACATGCTTATTGACACATATACTCCCACTGGCTTAAGCCAAATCACAAAAGGGAAGTTAAACACAAAACATCAGCATTCACAGGGCTACGGCATGTTATTATTTGATGGGATACTGTAAAAGAAGTGAAGTTTGTTTATAATAGTGCAGTCATATGGATAGCTTTTGGCTTGTTAACAGAAAAAAAAACAGTTATGTCCATCAGAGATTGGAGCGATGGCATTAAGATACGTATGATTGCATCTGAGAAATTTGTATGTGGTTTCAATTTTACAGCAGAAGAAAAACAAGCTAAAGATGGAAATCAAGCTTCACCAACCCCTCAGCTCAGTGTCTGGCAGTTAGCAAGCCCTTCTCTGCCTCCTGAGTTGAAAAAGCTTAATGGCATGGTGGAGGCTGAACAGGTCAACAAGCGTTTGCTGTTTCGAAGGAAGCGGTCCATTCTGTTTCCCAGTGGAGTTAAGATCTGCCCCGATGAATCTATTGAACAGGCTATTGCCAACCACCTGAAATACTTCAGACTCAGAGGTAAGTGAGCATAAAGATCATACATCTCTTTGGAAACCGATAGCATTTATTTGTAATAAAAAATAGATGAAACTTTTAAACGTAACGCTATGCAATAGGAAATGCATTATTACACACAAAAAAAATAATCTTCTGTGACAATTTTCCTTATGACAGGTGTTCTGAGCTCATTTTCTTTTAAATCACTTTCTGACTACACTCATATCATAAAAACTCTCAGTCCCTGAAATCAGTTAACATTTAATTGTTGTTAATAGTTGTTCAACCTTTCTCATAGAACAATTTGAACGCTCAGAAAAATGGGCAGTAGGTACAAGTCAGCTAAATGGCAAAGCTGATTGTTTTTATTTAGTGTTTTTGAAGTGCTAGTAGAACTCAGAAAGGGATCTTTCAGAAAAGAGTCAAGTCAGAGACATTGGTCTCTCATGCACGTGACTTTTGGCTGTGGCTGGCTGTTCTCTTGCCTAGAAAGCCAATCTCGTGTGTCAGGCTGTGGTGTAACATAGCTGAGGCCTTTGTTTTAAGATACAGAAGCTGGTGTGAAAGAATTTGTTCTGAAAATCTGAAATATTCTCAGTAACAGCCTCTTTCGTGAGTTGGGATATTACAGCAGTGTGATGTATCTTAACAGTCCTGTCTGAGATGATTGGAATAAAGTGCTTTCTGGCATTTGTGGATCTCTGTAGAGTAGTATTCAAACACTTTATTGCATCTTACAATGTTTTCCCATAGTCTATTGGTTAAACAGGGAAGAGCTGCGCTCACTTAAAGGTGGAGGAAACACCTTCAGAGATGTGTTTTTGCATTTCTAATTAACATTTATTACAATGTAATAGATGTAACCTAGTTTTTTGTTTTGTTTTTTTTTTAAGAAAAAAAAATTGAAAAAGGTCATCCTGCCTTTTGTGCCCTCATTGCTGTTATGTTTATGTCATCATACTAATGTCATCGATGACATTAAATCACTGATCACTGATGACTAAATCACTTTGACCAATAATTCTACCCTACACGACTTGCCTAAGGCCTTCCGCAAAGCCTGAGATGAGGCAGGGTGTTGAGCCTGTAATCTCTGTGTCCCACACCTCCACCTTGAGTGCTGGATCAGCCTTTCTGCTCACTAGATGAATGCCTCTCTCTCTCAGCAGTCACAAGATGAAAGCCATTCTATCACTTTGCGGCTGTGGGAGCCCCGTTTGCAGACTTGTCTTTTCAGCACTAGCTGTGGTAATGATGCTACGCTCTGAGTAAAAATTCCTCTTTCCAGATAAAGTTCCGGAGGCCTGTATTAGTGTCAGTGTGCTACCATACAGGGACTTAAAGAGACAGTTTTGAGCAAATGGGCTGATCTTTACACCTCTGGGACATTTGTATTGTATTGTTATTTGGATTAATGATATTGCATTGCTTTGATCATGTTGGACATTTAAAATTACAGCTGGACTAAAGTGACAGAATATGATGTCTGTAGAGAGGTCTGTTTACGGTCCAGTGCAAAAAGAAGCAGATTACTAGCTTCTTTTATTGCCACTGTCTAGGAATTAGTTTTACTTTGCTCTGGTGAAGTCTCCCTTGAGCCACAGTATATATGCATCTAGGCCTAGCAAAGGTATTTGAAGTATATTTGAGTCAGTTGGGCTCTTTGTTTTCTTTTTGTCTTTTGAGACACGTCTTCTTCCAAGGCCTGTTGGAGATGGGAGGTTTGGCTTCATGTAGTTTGAATCATGCATTCTGTATTTCTCCCTTCAGAGCAGTGAAAAACAATTAAAACCAGGAATTACTGAGTGTCTGTGTAAAAGTAAACATAAAGAACGTATTTGGAGAGCAAAGTGGAATTATGTGGGATCAGAGCCGCATTCAAAGATCGACTTGTGCCCAGCCTGAGTGAGACACTGACATTGATTATGCAGCTTGACAGGCTTTGCAAGTGTCTTGTTTATGTCTGTCCAGTAGCACTCAACGTTGTTTTGCTCCAAAAGGATCCGTGCGATGTACTTTGACTGCAGTCACCCCTCAATTATATGTGATATAGGAGTGTAGGCAAATACCAAGTAAGCAAAAGTCTGAGTGATAGTAAAGAAAAAAAGATCTGTAAATTAGGTTGTAAAAGCTTATTTAAAACTTAATGATCCTAGGTTGAGCCAAAGGTCCACCTAGGCTTTCTTTCTGCTTTCCTACGGGACTTCTGGCTTCCATGGTCCTCAGTGACTTCTTGAGCAGAGATGCTTTGTTCACCCTTAGCATGTTACACTTTTGAAAAAGATCTCTACGAGAGAGAGAATTATAATTAGCAACAAGTCTGGCAAGGCCTGGTTCAAGCAACCTGTCATCTTCATTCTGTTAGCAGCAATACACTGCATCATAGCTATTTGGTTAATCACATCCTGAGTAAATGCACCTGAGGTAAGTGAGAGCTGATGGTGCTGTTACTTTTTTCATACAATCATAGAATGGTTTGGGTTGGAAGGGACCTGAAAGCCCATCCAGTTCCAGCCCCCTGCCATGGGCAGGGACCCCTCCCACCAGACCAGGTTGCCCAAAGCCCCATCCAGCCTGGCCTTGGACACCTGATGAGGTATCCACAGCTTCTCTGGACAGCCTGTTCCAAAGCTCCATCACACTCACAGTGAAGAATTTTGTTTGATCTAAAGCTCCCCTTTTTGAGTTTAAAGCCATTAGCCCTTGTCCTATCACTACACCCCCTGACAAAGAGCCTTCTCTTCTCCAGGCTGAACAACCCCAATTCCCTCAGCCTGTCTTCCCAGGAGAAGTGCTCCAGCCCTGATCATCTTCATGGCCCTCCTCTGGACCTGCTCTCACAGGTCTATCTCTTTCTCATGCTGGGGGCCCTAGATCTGAACACGGCACTCTTGGTGGGGTCTCAGGAGAGCAGAGCAGAGGGGGGGCAGTCACCTCCCTCGCCCATAAACTTGTTGAGGGTGCGCTCAGTCCCACTGCCCATGTCACTGACAAAGGTGTTAGACAGCGTCTGTCCCAGACTGACCCCTGAGGAACACAGCTCATCACTGGTCTCCACCCGGGCATGGAGCCATTGCCTGCAAGTCTTGGAGTGCGACCAGCCCACCAATTCCTTACCCACTGAGATGTCCATCTGTCAAATCCATGGTTCTTCATTTTAGAGACACAGATGTCATGTGGGACAGTGTCAAATACTGTGCACAAGTCCAGATAGACAACAAAGCTGTTTCTTGAGTGTTCTCAAATTATATACCAGCTTTTTCTTGAAAATACATTTTTCCTAACTAGCTAAATCAGTACAGTGATTAAAAAAATAAGATGGACTTTGCACTGTCAACAAACAGTCCTAGACAAAATTGTGGTCACAGTTTGGCTCTTAGGGACCAGCTAGTATCGGTGATGAGAAAAACAGCTCTGTAGGGGGATAAGTGTGATGGTACCCAGAATCTATTGATTTTTCCAACCTCAGTCTGCATATTTAGAATCTTTTAATCTGTACCTGTTGAAGTAAGGAATTACTTTAATATCCCATACTTTCTCTGAGAAGATGTTTTTCTCTGAAAGTGTGGCTTTAATAAAATCTATTCTTTCCTTAGTTTTATTATCAACCAAAAAAAGGCAGCTCTCATGGAAGGAACTGTTCTTTTCTTTTTTGACATAAGAGCTTGTTGGGGGAAAAAAAAAGATTTGCATGTGCTGGTTATCCGGGGTACATTTGTTCCGTCTACCTTAGAAGGAAACAGGTGGAAATATAATTATCTAGCTGTAGCTCATAGCTTTATTTACTTTTGCTAGCTTGCTAAAACCTTTATTAGAGACTGACGAACATTTCTGTCATAGGCTTTAAGCCAAGTGCTTACGCCATATAGCTGTATGCTTAGCAGCATGCTCCTTCTTTTCAGCCTACAACATCTGGATTTTTGTAGCCTTAAAAAAAAAAAAAGCGAGATGCAACAATATATAATAAATCATTAATTTCTTTTGAATTGTAGCAGTGCTATTGCTGCTGCTGGAAGAATCATGTCAATCTAGCAGTGGTTGGTAGCTGGACTGTTGTGATGAAAACAAAGGGTGTCCGACAGGCAGCTGGAGGTTTCACAAATCAGATTTAGTGCAAGTCTAACAGCGTGGATTTTGGATATTGAGTGTGCTGGGTATGGTAATGTTGAGTTTGAATGATGGTTTTACTGCTCACAGGGAGACAGTGGCTCAGTGCTCTGTTAAATAAAAATTATTATATGAAAGATAGCCACGCTTCCTCAGCCCAAAAGCCTGCCTGTTCCACTCCTGGCTATGGGATTGACCAGTCACCCCATGCTGACTGTCCATTTCCTTTGGTATAAGTTGCCAGTAGATGGCTGAGGATTTTAATAGACTTGAAAAACGGATTTAGTAGTAAAACAGAAACAAGATAAGAATTGTGAGGTTGCATGGCTTGTGCTATTGTCCCCTCCATGTGTAGTAAAACAAAGGATTGGGGTTTTGGCACGATGGTTCAGGGTTAACACTGCTGCTGTTCTGGGTATGTCTGAGATGTAACTACTCCGGTGGCTACTATCCATAAATTGCTTTTGCCTTTTTTCCTGCTGTGATCCATTCCCTTAAACAATTGGGTGTATTGTTTAACATTGTATTTTCACGTGAGTAGGTCTGATATTCTCTCTGCCAGACCTGTTTTTGTCAGCCAGAGCTTCAGATGAAGCTGAAGACCAAAAGATTCTATTTAAAGATGCTGACCAAAGAAGGAGATGGATGGTATTCTCGCGTGTCATAGCTAATGGGAGCCAAGGACATTTTGGTACTTGGAAAGAATAAAATTAATTTCTGAGGAATTAAGTTGTGTGCATGATTATAATCCCTCGATTTGGTAATCTTGGGCGTAGCACTGAGCTCCTAACATTAAAGTCAGAATCCAGATTTTCTCCCCATTTCCTGGGTTGGTTCAGATGTATTTACCGAAGCAGCAGAAATAATGTTATGTTCTGCACATGGACAGAGTTGAGAGAGAAGTTTCAATCTGA